TCTGCTGCCCCTCCCACTTTTAATTTAATTTGAGACCTCAGCAGTCATGTTATGTGCATAAGGAATTTAATGTCAGGCACTCTGGCCCCAATTCTGTATCTATTTGATTTGTTGGGAATTTGGTGACATTTTAAATGGGCATGACATTTAAATAATTTTTAAAAATCTCCAAACTGGCCCGACATTTGTCATTTGCTCTCTTTTTAACATTTGGGTGCTATATTCTCACCTGTATGTACTTTTGATTATTATCTGAGACTGGGTTTTTTTAGCAGAAATGGAAAGTTTGTTTTTCTTTAGGCTTTCTTTTACACACTGACTTTGAGTTAAAGGAAACTTGGTAAATTACTGTCATCTTTTGTAATAAATAAACTTATTGTAGAGTAGTTTGCAGCTTGTTTTACAGCCACGTATACTTCTTAATTTGGAGTTCAACAAACCTTACCTGAGTCTAAACTACATTTGAATAAAAGTCAGAAGCATTCCAACTTTGAGAGAGTTTATATGAGCAAATAGACATTATATATGCCTCATTATAAAACTTCTTTCCTAATTTTATATATATAAATATTTTACATTTCTAGTGAGCCCAATTCAGGAAGCTTGCCTTTGGATATTTCAGTGACTCCATCATCCTTAAAGATAAAAAGCTGTCAAGCCTGCACAACTATCAACCTGCCTGCAGAGGTCAGGATTGTTCCTTCCTATTGCCGAGGAATACAATATGTAGCTGGGGATGGCTTACATGTAAGACTGCAGGTCGAATCAGATTCAAATGCAAGTAAGTGTAACTTATTTATTCATTGCTTTGCTTTGGCACTTGTAAAGAGAGAGCTGCTCTGGTAAACAGATAAGCTGAAACTCCATGTTACATGAAAGAAATGCGTTGAAGGTTTACTCTCTGCAGTAAGAAAGTTAATTGAACTTCATCTTACACAGAACCATATTTTATGTTCTCTATTAGTCTTGAACTTGGGATTAAAATGCCCTTCTAAAGTGCTTTTAAAACAAATGTCTCCAACTTTGCTAGGCAAAGTACAAAATCCATGTAATAAAAGAGAAAGCATGTCATTTCAGGAAAATATTTTATTTAAAGAGTTTGAGAATTGTTTTGCTATATTCGCGGCTCTTCCCTAATAAAGACACTTAGGCTGATTTGGCAGTTTGGGAGTTGTTCCCACTTAGTGGTCTGTAGTTAAAAATTTAGTATCAAAATTTCATGCAGTCCAGGTTATTGGATGAAGGATGGGATGATCAGAACCATCCTTAAGGAAGAGTTGTATTGCTGTCCTTTGCTGTACTGATTTGCAGAATTCAATGTCCCCATGGTTAATTCTGCAAGTTTTAAGTGTTACTTACCTCTGACACTTTCATAACAGTAAAACAGATCCCTGTATTTTGTTTTCTAACAGTGTGGAAGAGGATTCCAAATGTTGCAAACCTTGGAAGGTTAGGGATGCTAGACTGGCTGCTTGTTTCCATCCCTTTCTACTTAATAAGAGCCTATTTAAGTCTTTATTTGATAGCTTAAAACATTGAACTTTGAAACATGAGATATATTTGTTAGAAACCAAAATAGAATAATGTGACTACAGTAGATATATATCATTATATGATTTTAAGCTAGAAACTAGTAGCATCTGCTATATCTTGTACTACTATCAAGATTACTACTATCCTATAATTCAGGGGTTTTCAACCTTTTTTAACAAGTGTTAAACTTTTAACTCTTGTCTCAAAGTTTCAGCTCATGTACCTCTTTATATTTTTTTCTTGTTTTTAAGGGGCAGATTGAAACCCCCATGATGTGAGAAGGAGTGGGACTGGGGCAGGGGCAGGTGCTGTACAGCCGGGGTAGAGAGTGTGATGGAACCGCGAATGGCTTGTGTGGGGCATGTTGGGGGGGAGGGGGGGCAACTCCTGCTGCTGCATGCACCCCAGAAGGGCATGGGGGCATGTGCCCCCAGATCTGCATGTGGGGCTAGGGCAGGATACTGCTGCAGGTCAGGGCCAAGGGCTGGGGCTGGGGCTGCACCAGGCTCTTCCTGGCTGCACTTAGGGCAGGCAGTGGCAGTGCCGGAAGGGGGCTATGAGGTAGGCTGCAGCCACTCCAGGATTTGCTGTAGCCCTGCCGTAGCCTGCCTCCCAGCAGTGCTGCCCCCTGCCCCAAGCACACCCGGTCCATCCAGGAACAGCCTGCTGCCACTCCGGCCCCAGCCTTCAGCAGCAGCCCGCCTTCGCCCCATGCGCAGATCCGGGGGCACACCCCCCACCATGCCCTCCTGGTGTGCATACAGCAGTGGGAGCTGCCCTGCCCTAGCTGGGTAGTCCTTGCCCTTGCCCCACTCCTTCCACCACCACTGGGGCTTCGATCTGGCCCCCCAAAGCTCCGTCCCTCACAACAGACTTACCAGCCTGACCTGGCTGCTCTCTACGCTGCCGGGCTGCGCTCTTGGCCGCTTGCATACTGTGCTGCAGCTGCATGCACACATGTAGCATTTATTGGCCACATTAATTCTGTGTACCCCTATGACCTTTTTAAGTACCCCTAAGGGTACGTGTACCCCCGGTTGACAACCACTGCTATAATCTATACATAGATGCATATAGATAACGACTGAATCTTTTACACAAGAAAAAATAGTCTATTACTCAATTTTGTGGCGTGCTTCTCTTACTCTGGGATTATGCATGTGAGTTGCCAAGTGAATTGTATGAAAATGATTTAATATGTTTCCTAGTACTAAAACTCATGAATTACAGTAGCAGAAGTCATGACTCTGGGCTTCCTTCATGTAACATGATGCAGAAGTAAACACCGTTTGCTAGCTTTTCAAAATTGAGGTCCTAAGTTGCAGCAAGTTAAAGTGGGAAACCTGCTTTGTAGGTATAAGTCACATAGGTATGCACATATGTGTCTGGTGTTTCTGGAGAATCATTTAACTTGCAATTTGCAATTGACTTTTACTTTTCTTTTGTGAGTTCAGTTTAGAGTTTCAGTTTTGAAAAATTACAGCTATGAATACACTCTTTTTTTTTTTTTATACTCTAAAATTTGTGCTGTTCAAGTTTTCCTGTTCAAACAGATCAGTATGTTGTTTTTGTATTATTTACTTGTATTAATTTGTTTTGCTAGTTTCCATTTAATTGTGGAAAGAAATGTTGCCCAAGCATGTTTTTTTGTCGGCTTTTTTTTTTTCCCTTTGCTGGCCAGCAGAGGGTATTGTTACACCAGAGACTCATTTCTTTTCCTTGAGAGAGAGCATAGTTTTATTGCTGGTCGAGTTTGTACAATATTTGTACCTGGTTGAGTTTGTACCGAGTTTGTACAATATTTAGAAATGCTACTGATTTTTCAACTATCTTATGGTATAAGTTATTAAAGGAGGAGCTGTCATACTGCTGAGATAAGTAAACTTTAATATTTTCAGGATTAAGATTTAATTTTAACTTTTCTAAAGATCAAGGATTTTTTTAAACTTTAGCCCTTCCAAAATTAGGCTTCCAAATTGTTGAAATAATTATTTACATATGCTGTGTGCCAGGTAATGATAATAAAAATAAGGTGCTGTGTATATATATTATACTTTTCCCTAGGCCTGCCTGTTGTGTTGTAAGAAGGCAGTGCAAAATTGCTTGGTATAAAATGTCAGCATTTTGTTCTTATTTGCAGTAATTAAATTCCTACCTTTTTGAAGCCGCTGTATTGATATACATAGTTTGTTTTTATGTTCAAATTTATGCTTAATAGGAACTTGATATTTACTCTGTCTTTCATCTTTTTAGAATTGGTTTCAACTTTGTGTGAAATCCTAAAAGCCAATGAGAGTTGCATCTTTTACTGTCAGACGTGTGGGGAGATGATAATAAAAGACCGGTAAGCAATGCAAGGCTATATGCTTATATTAATAAATGAGGTAATGGTCTGTCACACACAAACTTAAAGGAACATGGATAATATTTATTTTTAGAAGCTTCTTCAACTGTTATTCTCACACAGTGGAATTTATTAAAATTGAAGTCATGTGACAAGTCTTTTTCCTTCGTTTCTTGCATTTTTCTCTACATGGAAAACACAAATAAACCAGGGAGACTGCACGGTTCAGTGGATAGGGCTCATATCTGGAAGTTACCAGACCTGATTTTTTTCTAGCCTCTGCAGAGCACCTTGGACAAGCCACTCTTCCCTTTGTGGGCACATACAGGTGTTACATTTCTTTTGGGAGAATCTTCACTTTCCCAATTGAACCTAGAAGTGTACAGGAAAATGTCTTCTGCAGGAGAAAGATTTTCCACTTCCAACCAGAAATATCTCCATACTTCGAGGCTTATTGTCATGCTGTTTTTAATAGTTTAATTCTGATTCTTGTGCAGTAACAGAATGGTGCAATATTTGAGTTGTCAGTATGTTAGAAGAAAGTTTGAAAGTTAGAGAGGTTGTTATTCTCACTGAATTTTGTAGAGAAATATTTATGATGATTAATAGGTTTACACACACACACACACACACACACACACACACACACACACACACACACATGCACACACAAAATCAAAACTTGGGCCTAGCCTACATGTTTTGCATCCTTCTGCATTTTAGGCATCCTACTTGTTTATGTTCATTCCCTCCTACAAGTTTTCCCCAGTCAGCAGATTGTACTTGAAATATGCTCAGGTTGAGTAGCTGTTCGTGGGAAGTTGCTATCCATCTTTAGTGTAAGTTAGCTCCTTCAGATTTGAGCAGCTCTCAGCCTTGGGATGTATGCGAACTATACCTGAACTTTATGACTCAGCCTTATCTCTGTTTCTTACAAAGTTTTCAGATGGCATGAGAATTTTAATGCAAAGTTACTTGGTTTCCTACCTGTTGTGATGAGCAGTTTTGACAGCTTCAATTGGATATGTACAAATTCTTACAGACACACTTGCAGTCTTTTATGATCCATGTCACTCCTGATATTCAGAATGATAATTCGATGTAATACAGTCTGTAAACTTCTGTTCCATTGCCATTGTTTTTGCCGATTTATGGCTGACTTGAATGAAACTGAATGTTGGATTTGTGAAGTATTTTATCAGCTATATTTGTTTTATTTTTATCTATTTAAGAGAATAAACCAAACTTAAAATCTAGTGAATGGTAAATTCTAGTAAACTTTTAAATTCTTTGTGATGTTTTCCCATTGAAGACTATTATACTTTTACCTGTCTGTCCACAAACATAAACATTTTTTTTCCAAATCTAAATTAATCTGATAAATGCACATGGGGGTTTACTGCCTCTTGGTTCTGTTTTCCTGCTTTGTAGTGCGGAGGGTGTCAGTGGAGTAAAATGATAGACAGGAGTATGTTAGCATAGCTTTGTACCATACATTTCTCCTTCTAGGAATCCTTTCAAGTCCTCTCCAAGTAACATTTGCAAGAAATGGGGCACAGCGGGGTCTGGAGGGATATGGAAAGGATGGAGCAAGGTAGCTGTCAGTATTCAACAGTCTTCCAGTGCTGCTTTATTCCCTTTATTTCTTCTCTTTCTACGGATTAAATTCCTATCTGTTATCTAGAAGAGGAGCATATAGACAAAAAGATGCGTCTTTTGAAGCGTTGTTTCTGTCATTCACTAGATCTGAGAGGACTGAGAAGAACGCAGTTTAAATTATTATTTTTTACTTATCTTTTATGAAAATGGTTCTTTCTACTAAGACAAAAATACTTCGAAAAATCTGATGTAGAAAAGTATCTTCTAATTATGTTTTGGTATAGAAGTAGACACAAATCATTACAGTTGCTATCAAACTTGAATGCCCAAGTTTGTTCAGAGCCAATATAAGACTATTTAATTTGTGAAAAGGAAAGTAAATTCAGCATGGTCTCTTAATATTTTAAAAAAGAGGTCAGAGGTTTGCTCAAGCCATTGGCCTGGCATGATTAAGGTATACTAGGTTCCATAATCAATGGCACACAAGTGAGTGATATAATTAGTATCACATCAGTCACCTTTTACTGGGCATGCCAAATTACTCAGTACCCATTTACAGCAAGGTTGACCGGAGACAGCTTTCAGAGTGTGTCTGGATCAAGGCTCAAACCAGGTCTGTGGAGCCATACTGAGGAGCACTAAACAGGAAACCACTGCACCCCTTTCTGTGTTGAAGGACCTGTATAATTACAAGTGCGCCCACTTTTATTTTGGACTTTCTGATTTTTAATGAGAACTTCCTAGAAATTCAAACCTACAGTCCAACAATATGAGTGCAAATAAATGCATTGACAAAACCTGAAGTTCACGCTTTTCTGACTATTGGGTCCATCCTTCTAAAGCAGGGGTTGGCAGCATATTTCCCTTGGGCCAGATCTGGCCTGTGGAGTCACTGATCCCATTCATGGAACTAGCGGGCTATGCTTGGCCCCATGCTCGTACCAGGGCTGAGTAGAGAGAACTTGCATCTGTACCTGAGCTGTTGCTACTTTTTCCCCCACTGCCCGAGACTGCAGTGTGGATGCAGCTTCTAGCCAGTAGGGAGCTGCTCTGGGGCTGGGCTTGTGCTGAGCCTGTGCTGTTGCATGGGGAGGGAGAACTGGCAGCAGTGTGGATGCAGTTTTCCATTTCCTAGGCCCAGCACAGCTCCTCACCGGCCAAAACCTGTTCTTGCTCTCCATCTGGGAAGCAGGGGGCTGGGAGAAGTGGTGGCAACAGGGGCATAGCTCCTACATGGCTGTCTCTATAAAAGTGCTCCTGCCACTGAAGTTACCTAGTCTGCATCAGACCAGAGCTGTATTGTTTCAGCCCATGGTTTATAAAGGTTGCTGGTCCTTGCTCTAAAGAGATTTCTGTTGGCAGACTCTTACATTAGCATGGACTCACAGAAGGGTTAGACCCTTAGTGAGGTCAGATCATTGCACAGACTTGAGCACATCCTTGCTCAATGCAGTTCAAAATTCTGAGAACAAAATAATCCATTGATAATAATACAGTTCCAGAGACAGGGAAGGGTTTGGATTTTGGCTTTTTGCTGAGATGCCCAAGATCCAAAATGTAAATACACTTCTTTGGCATGTGAGGCTGTTGCAGGCTTGTTTATGAGAACCCTGTAGTCTCCTGAGAGAGAATTCAGTTGTGTGGATAGCTTTAGTAATCAGACAAAGATACGGAGTTTTGCTGTGGAGACCAACAGTTTGTGCTATGGGGACCAGATTAAGCAGGGACAAGGCTTCAGTTTAGTTTCATTTTGCATTATGTAACACTTTCATAGGCAATAATGTAATTGTTCCATGTAACTAAGCTCTTGTGCTGTTCTTTACATTACTGCTATGTCCTAATGGGGTTGCATGGATTTTAGAGCAATGAAGAAGGCTTTTGATTCCTAATTCAGGTGTTGGAACTGCTGGTATAGATGGCTGGCCTAAGACCCATCACCAGTATTAAGATTTTAGGGCAGTGTGGAGAAATCAAAATGTCTCAGACAGAAATTATTATGTGACCTCAGTGGATGATGACAGAATGGGTGGTGTCAAGAAAGTTATCTTATTAGCTGTAGATGGTTCAGAAAGCTTAGCTATTTTTAACAGCTCTCATTTGCAAACAGTGGTGATTCTGGTAGGGTGTTAGCACAGCTTGAAATATATTGTGTGCTTAGAACAAAAGAAACTTATAAAAAATTTCACTTCCTCACAAGAAAGTATGTAAGAAAGTAATGGCCTCTTGAGATTACCTGTTAAGAATCAAGCTGGTAGTGGACTGGAGCCATGAGAAGGTATGTAAGCACATGCTCTGGGGTTGTGAACTGAATTTAGAAAAACCCTCACAAATGTACAGAACAGCAGAACCAACAAAATTGCAGGTGTAGGCTTAAATAAGGAGCAGAATCCAGAAACTGTACATACAGTTATTGGTCAGCAGAATAAGGAAGGTGAGCACAAGAGGAAAACATGGAAGAAAACCAAGCAGGCAAAATTGACTACAGTTTTGTCAGAAAATGCACACACAGCAAATTGTAAATATGGTGATGGAGTCAGTTAATAGCTCTGAGCTGTTAGTATGAGCAGCAAATTGTGGGACTATAGAATGGGGAATTCTTGTTTCAGCTGATGGAGCTGTAGGAAATAAGTTGAGTTAAAATATAAATATATTTTTTTATCTATGTATCGTTTATATTTGTGTAAAAATAAATCTTGTTTAATTTCCAATTTTTGATATTAGAATAGGCATAAAAGGTTGCACTGAGAGGGATAGGAATAAAATAAAAGTTACTGTTTAATGAAGTTCTGGTTTTGTTAATTTCAAAGCAAGAACTATTTGCGAGAAAAAAATGAATTCAGACAGACAGGATTGTTCTTGAATAGCAATGTGTGTGTTCTAGCTTTAAGACGTTATTTCCTAATTTAGAGTTGTGAGGCATGTGTGACTTAAATGTTACATCCCAATCTAATTTCAGGTTGTATTTTCCAGTCTTTTAAAAAGAAATGGACATTCAGTCTCACATTTTTGTTAAGACCTAATTTTGTTTATTGCAAAGTCTGATTGCCTCCCTCCGTATGAACTTGGAACAGCTCTGTATAACTTCCCTAGCTAAAGGTGCGGTTTGGCAAGACATCTACTGATGTTGCACAAACATTTTGTTTGAAAGAGAGAGAACAGAAATTTAACATGAAATAAAACAAAGAAAGGGCATTTTAGATTTTTTTCTTTCAATTATGTTTTCATGGCTGACTCAAATTACTTTATCTCATGATTCACTTTCCTAGGGGACAAAGCCAAATTCTGCAGTATAATTGCTGGCAATGAAGTTGAGCCTGAGTCTTCCCACTACTAGATTGTGACAGTTATTTCCCAGATAATCTTTTTAAACCAGTTTATGTGTAATGTCTGTCCCTAGCCACTGTGCGTTGCATTGCCACTGCTGCCTTGGAATTTATCCAGTGGTCTTCAGCAGCTATAAAATGTGCCTTTTACTGAGAGTGCAGAGACAGGCTTTTCCTTTAGAGAGAATCTCACAAGTTATAGACTTATGAAGATAGGTGTCATAGGAATGTCTGTAATAAATTGAAATAGTTTGGGGTTTTCTCTTCTCTCAGGACGTTTCTCCGAGTTCTTCCTTTGCCAAGTGAAAACTGGAGTGCTTTGGTTGAAGAGTGGTGTTGCCATGCTAATCCCTTTGCCAGCGTTCTTCACCCTCAGAGTAATGACTGTTTTCTTGGAGACACATATTTTCTGGTGAATTCAGGATACGAGGCGCATGTGCCAGGAGTTGAAAAAGTCAACTGGGAGACTGAACACTCTGCTTCTCAAAGTGGCTCTGCTTTGGTAAAGTATTTTTTTTAATTCACAAGGTTGTAACAGTGTTTGGCCTCCCCTGACTTCAGCTTTGTAGGAGCCAGAGGAAGTTCTAAACTATGGCTTATGCTTTCAATACAAGTGCCACGCTGTATAAATTTAGCCACACAAGAAATTCCCCACACAAGAAAATCATTGTAAAAATGTTCTTCTATAACATAATATTTGCCAAGAAGCCTGAGTAAACCAGGAGAAACAATTTGTCAGACATTTTTTTACTACAATAGAAACAGTCGTAATTTGCTACAGGCTTTATATAATCAGGTAGTTAACTTAAAATGTACTTGTGATGTGATAAAGAGGTATCAATTAAAAGGCAGCAAATCAAGTGTCAAGAAAAATGGAATCTTTTATGATAGTCTGGGCCCTAGCAGATGTTACATTTATCACATTATTAACATGTTAATTGGGCAATAAAATTGCAGCATGCCACATTTGCAAAAAGTTTATCATGTGAGAAAATGGCAAACCAGGTACAAAGATATTCCACATTAAATGTGATTTAATGTGGAAAATGTTTGTGGGTGGCTTGTATTGCACTTTAGTTTGAACACATGGCATGTATGCCAGAATCTTAATGGTAAATAAGGGCAAAATAAGTGATTTTGACAGGCTGATGTCTGGGTCCAAGAATATTTTTTATTTATTCTTCCAAAATAAAAGTGGGGGTTGGGGAAGAATGGGTAAATGCCTCTACTTCCCCCTTTTGATATTGGTAATCCCAAAATGTGAGATTGTTTCAGTGTTTTTGTGAATTTTACTTCAAATTTTGACCAGCCGCATCTGTAGCTGAACAGGAATGTTTGAGGAGCTCTGGAGAATCGTGAAGAGGATGAATATTGGTGTGATATCAGTGTTCACTCTTTGTCCACTCTTGGAAAATCTCTTCATTTTTAAAAAGTTCTGCTATCATTTACTTTGCCTTCCCATTGTAGGAAAAAGTCCAGGAGCCAGTATCAAATCCAGAAAATATAGCTGGTGGTGTTGTATTTACTCAGATATAAGATTACCCCCCCCAAAAAAATTAGATTCTATATTTGGAAAAATTATAAATTTCTTATAATTTTCCAGGTATAGAATCTAATTCTTGGAGGCTTGCCTTGAATTTGTCCCCTTCCCATTGCTACAACAGAAAAAATAAATCTGGGGGGTCTGGTAACCCCTTTGTTTTCTGGTTCCCCCCAGCTTTATTCTCTGGCAACCCCTTCCTCCACTCCTTACTGTCAGACCCTGTTCTTCCTGAGCACATGGAAGCAAGGAGCAACTTTGAAAATAGTAGCCTTGAAATTAAACATAGCTGTAACAATGTGCATATTGTACCTGTAAACTTAATGCATCCAGAATTGATGTATGTTAGCTATTTTTGAAACTGCTGCAAGTTTTAGCACAGATATTCCATGAACACTTCTGAGCAGCACTTTGGCACCTACTTATATGTAGTACAACTATGCATGACATCAGTCCGGAGCACTTATCACATAGTTCATTGGGCCAGGCCCCACCAGAGTCAACAGGATTTCAAGCTCAGCGCTTCTCATTATGTGTATGTACTCCAGATGCCCCTGCAGAAAGGATCCATGTGCTAATTAGCCCTCCACTCATGACAGGAAACGGGTATTCTTATCATGAGTCCTAGGATCCTCCAAAAACTTTATATGCAAATCAAGGGCAGGACAGACTGATCTGGCTTCACCTCATGGAGAGCAGGTACACATTAATAATATGTGACGGGTTGAGAGAGGGGGCAACAGAGGGATTTTAACTAAACTATTTGGGACCCTTTTCGGTGATGTTTGCCAGACAGTTGAGTGAAGAAACAGGAGTCACTGCAAACAGGAGTCACTGGAAATGGGAAAGAAAAGCGCGGTGGTGGTGGAGGGGAAGGGAGCATGGCCCCGCTGGGATGGAAGTGGTCATGGCCCAGACCCCTGGGGGGCATGGCCCGGCCCAGCCCCAACCCAGCCTCATGAGTGGGGAAGGGAGTATGGCCCAGCCCCAACAGGAGGAAAAGGGGTGTGGCCAAGCCCTGCAAGGGAAGGACTCCTGCTTGGCACTGCAGAGAAGGAAGGAGGTGTGGCCGAGTCCTGGTGGGGAGAGGGAGCCTGGCCAGGTCCCAACCCAGCCCACAGGAGAAGGGAGTGTGGCCAGGCCAACTGTGGAAGGGGTTGCACACTGACCCAGGCCCACTGGCCATGCAGGGCTTGGATTTAGGCCACCGCTCCCCTGTCACCAGATTTTGTGACTTGTGCAGAGCCCCACAGATCAGAATGAATAAGTGTGGCTTGATCTTTGCTTTCAGAGTTCTTTTGGGCTGCAAAATTAGCTCCAGAACCAAAATTGTCTTTTGCAAATACTACTAAGAACTCTGGGATAGGTACCCATGGGAGAGTTCAGCTGCACCTATGAATACTGGGCAGAGCTGCACCTGTAACAAGGTGGCTCATTTTCTATGTGCTGTTCCATTGCTCATTATTAAACCAGTGAAGTCCCACTGCCTCTGTTAGCTGAAATACAAGTCTGTAGCAAAAAGGTACCCAACTCATTTCCAGAGGTGATGAATCTGGATTCACTTCCTTAAAATTGTTAGGATGCTAAGATTACTTGATGGTCTGAAACTCATTTTGTGCTTATTTCATACTGGCCGTTGAAAATCTAATTTCTACTCTTGGTTATTTCCAGCATTAGTCAGTTGCCAAACAAACGAGCAAAACTTTAAAATGAAGCAGGAATTGGACTAATAAGAAGAAGGCTCATTGAAACAAAATTCTTCCTTAATATGGAGACTAATAGAAAGTAACAGGCAAGACAGATTACTATTGGCGCGGACACTCTCATTTTATAGTATATTTTTGTAGTTTACCCTAGTATGAAAGTTCCTCTTTAATTGCATAGCAGTTCATTGGAAAGTGTTTGCCTATGACTAAAATAGTAGCAGAAATGTAGAAGAGATACTTAAACAATCCTTTCAAACCTCCTGTGGGACCAAAACAATGTTCTTCCATTGAAAACATATTTCTCACATCTCTTGGTCTTACAGTGTAACAACGTTTTTAAATGTCACATGGTCACACAGCATCCTAATAGTATCTCTTGGGGAAAATATTTTCCCCGAGACAATATCAAGGACATTTAGGTATAGAAACACAAAGTATTAGGATGGTGATCCACCTCCATCTGCAGGTTGCCAGCAGCTGTGAGTTGTCACATAGATATATCGATTTAATTAGTCTGGCTAACACTATCATCCTTTCTGTTCAAATGGTGATGCCACTAAGTTCCTAGTGTTTTTAGGTACCATACTGCAGAACTTTCTTCCAGCACATTGAACTGTAATCAGATAAAGCACTTGAGGAGATGTCAGAGGAACACTGTACCTGCACTTCCTCTGTCTCCTCAAATACTCTGCATTCTCCAAATTTTATTGCCCCAAAATTAGCAGTTCTACCATATATTTTTAGAGTTTGAAAGGGGGACTAATTGGATATATAGTGCAACTGTGTGCACCTTTTTGCATACCCTCTAATTCCAAAACCATGCAACGTGCATTTCTGAGATAGGAGAGTTTGTTAAGTTTGCCATAAATATAGACATTGAATTTATGACACATTATAACCTGCCTGACATCTGACTCCCCAGGTATCTCTCCACCATTCATCCCCCTTCTCTCTCCCCCCCCACCCCTCCCAGCCTCTCTCTCACCCATTGTGCCATCCAGGAATAGCACACACTAACTGCAGAACCTTCCTTAGCCTGACGAAGGGTTTTTGAATCCGAAAGCTTGCTTTATAATTGTTTTCCAAGTATTTAGGTTGGTCTAATAAAAGATATTGGATTCACCCAAAGAACCTTGTCTGCCTATGTCCTTAGACCAACATGGCTACAACCTACAGCCCTGTTATCTAGCCTATGACACTGCATAGAGCTGGAAACCAGGATGTTGCAGGTTCAGGTTTCATTTTTACCACTCATTTATTTTCTTATTTCTGTGTGCTCTTAACTTTGTAGTCAGACAAATATATCAGTCATAACATTTGACTAGCAAATTGAGAGATTGCATAAGATCACTTATAGGAATAGAGACCCAGTTCCTCATACTCCTAGAATTATACAATAGTAAAGAGAGAATGCACCATTATGAGCATTTTGCCTGACATCTTGCATAACACAAGCCAAAGAACTTCATGTAGTTCCTGCATCAAATTCATAACTTCTGTCTGCTTTAGAGAATATCTTTTAGAAAACTATTCAGTTTGGACTTGAGAATGTAAAGTGGTGAAAAATCTATTAAATCCCTTTGTTCAAAAAGTCAACCACCATGTCTTACCACATCTTTTTTCATACCACAGTCTCCCAGATAAAACACTCACCTTGTTTTTGGAAGGCAGAACGTAGAGAAACATATTTTTTCAGAGTCATGGTTGGCTGTTTGACAGTGTGTCCTGGAAATGAGAGTGTCTAGGAAGTGTTGCATCCCAGGAGACAATCTGGGTGAGGCAGCAGGGAATTCTGGGTGTGTCAGGACAGCAACAACACTAGGCCCCAGAACCTTGCAAGTGAAGTAGTAAGACTGTTGCTTTACTTTAATTCAGTGATTCCCAAGGGCTGTGCCGTGGTACACTGTGTGCTCTAAGAGCGATGGAAGTGTGATGCAAAATCTCCCTGTGTGAGGAGATAAATTCTCTCTTCCCCCAACCAGCACCCTGTGCCTGCCTCAGGTATTGCAGCTACGCCTGTGGCTGCCTCTCTGGGGACTGCCACTACTCCTGCTGCCTTCTTCTGCCCTTCCACAATCCCCAGCAGCCCCAATGCCAGATCCCCCATGCTCCCAGCAGCATGTTTTACTACTAGTGGGCAGGTCAGTGTATGGACAGCTGCACTTTGCAACTTGTCTCATCCTCTCTGCTTTCTCCCACACTCCTGGGGTCTACAGAAGAGGTTGCAGGGATGGTCATTGGCATTCGACCCTGCAG